TGCTGCAAACACGACCTTTTGTCACCAACTCTCCCCAGCGCCACGTTCCATCTCTTCACTTGTCTTGTTCGCTTTCCTTCCTCACTGTTCCTGCACGCGTCTCTACCCTCATCAGGTCATCACTGCATACTACAAGCCAGTGGACGAGATGCAATCGGAGGTCAACAAGTGGGCGGTCGTCTTCGTCTGCCTGGGCGTTGTCTCCTTCCTCGTTTACATCCTGCAGCACTACAACTTTGGTGTGGTCAGCGAGAAGCTCACCAAGCGCGTGCGCGAGCTCATGCTCACGTCCATCCTGCGCAACGAGATCGGCTGGTTCGACCACGACAAGAACAACAGCGGCGCCGTCGCCGCGCGCCTCTCCTCCGACGCGACTCTGGTCCGGGGAGCCATCGGCGACCGCATCTCGGTCATCACGCAGAACTTCTCCCTCATCGTCGTGGCGTTTGTCATCTCCTTCGTGCTCAACTGGCGCATGGCCTTAGTCATCATCGCCACCTTCCCGCTGCTCGTCGCGTCCGCAGCAGCCCAGCAGGCCTTCCTCAAGGGTTTCGCCGGGGACCTCAAGGCGGCACATGAGAACGCCAGTAACGTCGCAGCGGAGGCCGTGGGGAATATTCGCACTGTGGCAGCTCTCTCCCTGGAGGATAAGGTCCTGAGTCTCTTCCGGAAGCAGCTGGAGCCTCCTCTCAAGCGGTCCCTGCAGCGCGGGCAGGTGTCTGGGATTGCCTTTGGCGGGTCGCAGTTTATCATGTACGCGTCGTTTGGGCTGGGGCTGTGGTACGGAGGGCAGCTGGTGCAGCAGCAGAACGGCACGTTTGACGATGTGTTCAAGGTATTCATGGTGCTCATCATGTCGAGCTTCGCCATTGCAGAGACGCTCACCCTCGCTCCGGACCTTGCCAAGGGCGGCTACGCCATCAAGTCGTTCTTCGCCGTGCTGGACCGTCGGACCAAGATCGTGCCGGACGATCCGACGGCTGAGGTGGTCGAGTCAGTGAAGGGCGAGATTGAGCTGAAGCACGTGCGGTTTGCGTACCCCACCCGTCCAGACGTCGTCCTGTTTGATGATTTCTCCCTCAAGGTCCCCGCTGGGAAGACTGTGGCGCTGGTGGGACCGTCTGGCAGCGGCAAGAGCTCTGTCATTTCCCTTATTGAGCGATTCTACGACCCGCTAGCAGGGAAGGTGCTTGTGGATGGCAAGGATGTGAAGAGCGTGCATCTGCGGTCGCTGCGGTCGTTTGTGGGGCTGGTGAGCCAGGAACCTGCGCTATTTGCGGTGTCGATTCGGGAGAACATTCTGTATGGGCGCGAGGGGGCCACTGAGGCTGAGATTGTGGAGGCGGCCAAGGCTGCGAACGCCCACACGTTCATCAGCAGCCTGCCCAATGGCTATGACACTGAGGTGAGGGCGCATGTGCTGGTTGTTGCATGGGAGAGATGGGGTCAAAGGGGTAATGGGGGAAGAGAGAGAGAGAGAGAGAGGGGCAGCGAAGGGGCAGAAGGGCCAGGGGGGTGTGGCAGGGAGGCAGGGAAATGGACAAAAGTGTTCGGTGGGGTAAAAATGGGTAGGGTGGGGGGCAGAAGGGTGAGGAGGGAGAGAAGGGATTTACTGATTCTTAGCCTCTCTTCGCTTGCCCTCCCTCTTGTCTTTGTTTGCCAGTTCCACTGCCCCTACTCGTCCTTACCTTCTGATCTTTGTGCCATTCCACTAATCTGTTTTTGCTTTATTTTATCCATCCCATGAATGCAGGTGGGAGAGAGGGGCACCCAGCTCTCAGGAGGGCAGAAGCAGCGCATTGCCATTGCCCGAGCCGTGCTCAAGAACCCAGCCATCCTCCTATTGGACGAGGCCACGTCAGCTCTGGACGCCGAGTCAGAGCGTGTGGTGCAGGATGCTCTGGACCGTCTGATGGTGGGCCGAACGACGGTTGTGATTGCGCATCGCCTGAGCACGATCCGCAACGCCGATATCATTGCGGTGGTCCAAAGCGGGAAGATTGTGGAGAAAGGAACGCATGATGTGCTGTTCAGCAACCCCAACTCGGCATATCATTCGCTCGTGAAGCTGCAACAGTCAAGTGGGGACACCGCTTTATGAAAAGCCAGGCTGAGTGATGTTGCATTCCGTTCTTCACCATCTGGCAGGATGTGATGTGCTGTGGATGTGCGCTTGTGTCGGGGTTAATATTTGGGATCACAAGTGTCGGTATGCGTCTATTGCATTGCATCTCCCTTACATGGAGAAATAAGTGCCGCTCCACATTCGCTTCACACTTTTTGGTGCCCTCGTATGATTTTGACTTCGGTATTCACAGCACGGCTCGGTAAAGCCAAAACCCCAGATATCAGTGTTTTCCATGCTGATTGTTCAATATTGCATTTCCACACCGCCAGCCCTCCAGATATCAGAGTTGCTAAAATGGTTAGTCAGCCACTCCTCCGTTAGATCTGCTAAAAGAACGCAATTGATAAAGCCTGCTTTCTGTTCTTGCAATGGCAACGTGCTTCATTAGAATTGCAGTAATTACAGCATTCTCGTCCAATCATAAATCATACATGTAAATGATCAGGGTGGGTGGGTGGGGAGAGGAACTGCAAAGTTCCAAAATGAAGACGTGGGTGGAGGCCGAATGGCCTCCAACCCTCTTATATATTCGGCGAATGGTAATTCGCAGTTGCCTTGCTGCGCTACAGTCAGCTGCGCTTTCACAATACGCATTTTTAGAAAGTGTTACACACTTTAGAAAAAAAAATCATTTCTTGAATCAGTGTATATAAGGGCGCGTAACCATTTTGCACCCGACGGTTCAAACCGTGGACCGTCCGGGTGGCGAAACGGTAACAAAATTCGCACAGTATCGTGAATATGTTTGCTAAGGTGCTCGCGACATCGCCAACAAAACGGACTGTAGTGACACTTTTTCCCACTTTCAACGGTCCGAGATCTGAACCGTGGACAGTCCGAATCCCAAACGGACTGTCCGACAGTCCTTACACACGATTGGAGGGCGACACAAAAATTGTCGAGTCACCTCGTCCACCAACAAAAACGTACGAGGCTACTTCACGAATCTACATTGACCAACCAGAGACAACCCATAAACAAAAATGATTCGATAATGACATCTGAGAGCTTAAAAGAATTGCGTAACGCTTGTACAGAGATCGCGAAACTGTACATTAGGAAAAAAGTGTCACAACTGTCTTCGGACAGTCCGAAGTTGCAAAAAAGTCAGTCGGACGGTCCCGTTCTCGATAAGTGGACCGTCCACTTCGTTTTAAGCGGACTGTCCGTTAAAATCGTAAAATGCAAAATGGTTACGCGCCCTAAAGCGCGCATTATGCTTCTGTTGCGTGGACGATTTTCCGTGGCGGTTGCACGTGTAGCCTGACACACAGGATGAAGTGGCCCAACCTCTGCCAAACACAGATATCTAATGTACAGGATTGTTTGTGGTGCGAGAAGCCCAGCAGCTTTGCTGCAGGACAAGCTGTCACGCCGCGCATGTGGGGCAGTAACAAATGTTTTGGACCCAAGCAGTGGTAATGTGGTAATGCGGTTACCTGACTGCAATGGCGAGGTGAAGTTGTAGTGATTGCAGGTTGATTTTTGTGGACCTTGCTTCGCAACTATTTTTCGCCACTCCCAGTATTGCAGATACCCCCGATTTCGACAGGGAGTCAGTGATATACTGCTCAAAACATTTTGTGTCGGCTTGTGCGGGGGGATTGCGCATGCGGGTGACGGTTTTGATGTAACGGAGAAAGGCGCATTCGGATTCGTGTCGAAATTCGTCGGGTTTCGATTAGGGTCGACGAGATCTGTTGGGAAACCGCTACTTCAGGTCTCCGACTTCGCGTCATGCACCGCCAACCAGACGTCTATGACACGAAGCCAGAATTTGTCCTTGTCGCTTCTATGCTGCGTGGCCTTCTTTTTCCGCAACCACGAGGTAACTAGGGGTTGTACCGCAAAACGAAGCGCAACAGCAGAAGCTGGCGCGAGATCCCCCCCATCAGCCCATGAGCCCCCAACCTGATGCTCGGGTTACCGCCGCCTTGTCGGAGCAATTGGTTGCTGGTTGGTGAGGTGGTCCGCGGCGGGCCTGCGAAGCGGCTGGTTAGGCTTGGTAAGTCGTTGGTAACGCAGTTTCTCTGAAATGCCGTACGACGACAGAGTTTCGCAGACTGCGGCGAAACTTTCAGGTTCGGAAACGCCAAACCTCCATCTTTCGGGCCAGCATTCTCACCTAACTCCAACAAGGCGAAGATAGTTTCTCGCAGCTCCACTGCGCACATCAACAGGGAAGGGGGAAATGATAAGGCAATGCCAAGTCTGTTTCGATTCGACCAGTAACCTCAGCGGCAGCACGCAGCAATCAACCTTGGCGCAGTTCAGCTATTTTTAGAGACAAATAGGCGCGGGCTTGGCTGGTTGGGTTGACAGGGGAGAGGGGCTGATTGATAAAAAGGATGAGCGCTATTTCGCAGGAGGTGCACCATTATGGATGAAATTTGCGCGAGACATTGCGGATATTAAAATGAGGGAGTTTGGACTCATAAGGTCGCGAAGCGTGAAGAAGCGAATTAGTCACGAGGCTGCGACGTGACGAGCTACACAGACAGGAGCAAGTTAGGAGTGGCTTTCAGAGGTTTTCACCACCTGTTTAGCTGTTCTAGTTCGAGGACTACCAAGGCCCTAGATATTAAATACATCAGAACTGGGTCTCTAAGGCCCTCTGTGCGGAAGCTACAGTTTCAGGGGCTTGACATCGTCGAAGGTAGAATGGAACACTGACCATCTTCGCAAACCTTTCTTGCTTGCGAAGGAGAAGGCTGCATGACGTCACACGTTCATTAACCATTCTCCGGTGGAGTAGATTAGTACTATCTCGCTTCCCGTCTCTCATCTTCGACTCGAGGGTCGTCCCCGAAGTGATCTATTTCGTTTCTCTTGACGTTCGGTAACCACGCGGTAGCAGTCGACGCATCAGCCCATGGCGCATAATCCGTTCCCGGAATCATGCCCCGTCTCTGAATTCGCAACGCTAGGCAGAAGTTATTAAGGACGACGCTGGAGGGGCGAGTGATTCAACACACTCCCGGATATTGCACTCCAGTTCCCATCTCACTCTCGTCGCACCCTGTAAGGGTTTGGTTGAAGCTCGAGACTCCATGGCCGATAGTTGCAGCTGAAGTATTCTCGGTTTCCGGCGAAGACTCAGCTCTTTAACTCGAGGAGCGAGCTTTTGCTTCTCGAAGCCGCGTCTCCTTGTGTTGCGCGACGGAACTGGTGGAGCTAGCATCGTCGCTGCTGCAGCTAATTGATAATATAGCAGCGGTAGCAGTGGCGATTCTCGTAGTGGCAGCACCTGTGTACATACCCGCTTTTCCTTCCGCCGATTGCGGCGGTGGCGGCAGTAGCCGTTTCGTTCGCCGCAATGGACGGCGGCGCTACCAACAGCGGCGGCGGCGGGTGCGGTAGCGGCGGCGGCGGAGGCGGCGGCGGTGGCGGCAGTGCGGGGGAGTTGCGGAAAGGGCCGTGGACGGCGGAGGAGGATGATTTGTTGGTGAAATGCATTCGCGAACACGGCGAGGGTAACTGGAGCTCCGTTCCGAAGAAAGCGGGTGAGCGCAGGGGGAGCCATGTGATGCTGCGCGGTGCGCGGAGAGGCAGATGAGAAGATAAAGGAGAGGAGAGCAGAGGAGAGATGAGAGGAGAGGCGAGGCGAGCGGAGAGGGAAAGGGAGTGGAGTGGAGGGGAGGGGAGAGGAGAGAGGAATGGAGCGGAGTGAAGAGAGACGAGATAGTAGACGAGAGGGTAGGAGAGGAGGGGTTGTTGAGAGGTTTGGTCTACTTTTCCAGAGATGGCATCATGGCATGGGAGTTGTTGAGTATGGACGGAACGCCTTTGCTATCTCCTCGCATCCTCCCAAAGACCTACCTCTCCCTTCCGCCCCCCCCCCCACCCACCCGCCTTCTCCTGCGATCAGGCCTGCAGCGGTGTGGCAAGAGCTGTCGGCTTCGGTGGGCCAACTACCTGCGGCCGGACCTGAAGCGAGGCACGTTCACGTGCGCGGAGGAGGACCTCATCGTGGCGCTGCACAAGAGCATGGGCAACAGGTGGGAGAGAGAGAGGGGGTGGGGGAGGGGTTGTGTTGATTATTGAATCGACCAACAGGTGGGAGAGGAGGGGGGCAGGTGGGAAGGGGAATGGGCAATATATGCGGTTGGAGGGGGTAACAGGGAGGAGAGGGGAGGACAACAGATGGTTGGGGGAGGGGGATGTGCGAAGGTGGGGAAAGGGGGGAATGCGATGGGGAAAGGGGGGAATGTGATGGGGAAAGGGGGGAATGCGATGGGGAAAGGGGGGAATGCGATGGGGAATACATGCTGCCATGGGAACTCTAATAGAGGGGTTAAGGAGGGAGGAAGAGCAGAGCAAGGTAGCGGAGGATAGAGGTGGTGGGGAGGGGAGATTGGGGGAGAGCATCAGCTAGAAGAGGGTTTGGGAGAGAGGAGGGAGGAGAAGAGAAAGGGTCATTCCTTGTTGTCTGGTCCCACCGTACATACATAGCACAGGGCTGTGTTGTTGGCTGCAATACAACAGCCCAGTGAGTGAGTTTTGAGGCGCCTCAAAAGTTTTGAGGCGCCTCAATAGTCCTACATAGCACAGGGCTGTGTTGTTGGCTACAATACAACAGCCCAGTGAGTGAGTGTGGCCAAAGAAGAAGCCTCTAGAGCAGCCTCGGTAGACACAGTCACACAGCATGGCAGGCGCTCACATGGATGGGAATGTACCAAAGAACCACTGAATACTCGTACCCACCCCACCCCTTCTCTGCCCTCCCATGTTCCTCCCTTCCCCTTTTTTCTTGCTGGCGTGCGCGCTGTGCTGTGCTGTGCTGTGCGGTGGTGCGGTGCGGTGCAGGTGGGCGAAGATAGCGCTGGAGCTGCCAGGGCGCACGGACAACGACATCAAGAACCACTGGAACACGCGCATCAAGAAGAAGCTCCGAGAGGAAGGGCTCGACCCCGACACGCACCTCCCCCTCTCCTCCCTCCCGCCAGGTTCTTCTCTTCCCCCCCCCCCACCCCAAACCCCAGCCCCCCCGCACCACCCTCCCCCCCCCTCCCTTCACTCCTCGAACCCCCACCCCACCCCCGCTACCCGTGCATTCAAACTCGCACCCTCTCATTTGCATGCCCTGTTCTTCCATTTCTGTTTCTCCCGTTCCTCTCGCTGTGGAGTGGAGCCTCTCCCATCCACTCCTCCCCCCCCTCTCCCCTCCTCTCTTACTACCACTCGCCTAGTAGTCCTTCCTCCATTCGCACGCCTCTCCAGCCGTTCTATTCTCTGCCTGTATCCGCGGGCCTTTTCACTTGCTTTCGCCCGCTTCTCACAAGAACCACTTCATGCCGATTCGTGTGTGCAGTGCAGGCGGGTGGGTGGATGGGGTTGGGCTGGGGGGGTTCCGATGGTGTGTGTGCGTGGGTGGGAGAGAGGTGTGTCGTTGTGAGAGTGTGGAGTGCAGACGTGCTTGTGTCTCCTGCACCTTCCTCTCCCTCTCCATCCTCTCGATCATCTCCATCCTCTCCATCATCTCCATCACTGTCTCAAATCTTCTCAGACTATCCCCTCAACCCCCCTCCCTGCCCTCCCTTTCTTCCCTCCGCTCCCTCTTCCTCCCCCTCTTCCTCCCCCTCTTCCTCCCCCCCTTCCTCCCCCTCTTCCTCCCCCGCCCCAGATCACGTACCCAGCAAGCCGCACAAGAGGGGCCCTCCCCCAGGTAGTGCCTCCACCCGCCCTCACAAGGGCGTCAAGAAGGCCCCCTTTCCTCTTGCTTCCACTGCTGCCACTGCAAGCACCGCGCATGCAGCTCTTACTGCCGTGGTTCCAGGTCTTCAGAACACTGCTGCTGCTGCCACTGCTCTTTCTGATCATCATGCTGCTTCTGCTGCGGCTGCTGCTGCTGCTGCTGCTGCTGCATGCCTTACGCCTCCGGATCCTTTCACTGCTGCTGCTTCCGCTGCTGTTGATGATGATGGTGGTGTTGCGGCAACACTTCTTCCCCTGCCTCCTCCTGCCACACATGGTACCGCTCCTCCTCCCCCCCTCGCCAACCCCACAGCCGCCACCGCAGGTCCATCTACCTCTGCTTCCGCCTCTATCTCTACCACCTCTGCCTCCTCCTCCCTCAATCTCCCCTCCTCTCTCCCCTCCTCTCTCCCACTCTCTCTCCCCACACACGCGCCCAGCCACCCTGCGCCCCTCCATCTTCCAGCCTTTGCTGCCACGTCTGCTGGTGGGAATGCCTCAGGAGGCCAGTATAGGTCGAAAGTGGAGCGGATGGGTGTGGAGGAAGGGAGGGGAGGTGGAGGAGAGCAGTGTTTTCCCCAGGGGCAAATGGTCAAGTGCGAAGAGTTGGGAGGGGAGGGGGCGGGAAGGGAGGGGGAGGGTGTGATGGGAAAACAGGGGAGGGGAAGAACGGGTGGAGAAGGAGAGAGTGGGGAGGGTGAAATGGGGGAGGGGGGTGTGGGGGGGTGGGGAGAAGGAAGAGATGAGGGAGGAGGAGGAAGAGGAGGAGGAGGAGGAGGAGGAGGAGGAGGAGGAGGAGGAGGAGGAGGAGGAGGAGGAGGAGGAGGAGGAGGAGGAGGAGGAGGAGGAGGAGGAGGAGGAGGAGGAGGAGGAGGAGGAGGAGGAGGAGGAGGAGGAGGAGGAGGAGGAGGAGGAGGAGGAGGAGGAGGAGGAGGAGGAGGAGGAGGAGGAGGAGGAGGAGGAGGAGGAGGAGGAGGAGGAGGAGGGAGAAGATGGAGAGAGCAGCAGAAAGGATCAGCAGCAATGGAGAGCTTGGAGCAAGCAGCTAAGGGGCTTGAGAGCCTTCTTAGTGGCAAGACAGAGGGGGACCTGCAGGAGCTTCTGCAGCAGCTGCAACAGCTTCAGCAGCAACAGGAGGAGGAGCAGTCACACAAGGGAACGCAGCAGCAGCAGCAGCAGCAGCAGGAGCAGCAACAGCATCAGCAGCAGCAACAGCAGCATCAGCAGCAGCATCAACATCAGCAGCAGCAACAACATCAGCCGCAACAGCAGCACCTGCAGTCACACCAACGTGCTGGATCCCCCAGCAGCTCTACCAAAAGAAAACCTCCAGGAAATGACGTGCGCAGCACGAGCACTCACGGGCAGCAGTTGCAACGGCTCAAGTCAGCGTATGGTGCCGTGGGTGGTGGTGGTGGTGGTGTTGGTGGAAACAGGGACGCATGGGCAAAGGCTGAGGAGCAGGGGGGGCTGTTTGAGACGTCTCAAAAGTCGTATGGTGCCATGGGTGGTGGTGGTGGTGGTGGTGGTGGTGGTGGTAACAGGGACGCATGGGCCAAGGTTGAGGAGCAGGGGGCGGCGGAGGGGCAGCGAGCAGCGGCAAGCGCAGCTCTGGCACTACTGGGTGGGAATGGCGTGTGGCGGAGTGAGATGAGAGGCGGGCAACGAGGCAGAGGGGGGGTGCAGGGGGTGAAGGGCGAGGAGGGGCTCACACGGGAGGATGGGATGAGGGAGGAAAGGGGGAGGGAGAGTGAGAGAGGAGAGCGCAGGGGTTTTGAAGGGGGTGGGGAGATGGGGGAGGGTGAGAGGGAGTTTGAGGGCGATGGGGGAGGATATGGTGGTGGCGGGAGAGGGGGGGACCCTGGTGCTGGTTGCGGTGCTACTGCCACAGCTGCTGCTGCTGCTGCTTCAGATGCTACAACACCTGCCGCTGCTGGTAATGCTGGTGGTGCTGCAGGCGATGCAGCAGCAAACGCAACAGACAGCACTGCAGGGGCAGAAGCAGGAGGGGCAGAAGGAGGAGCGGCAGCAGCAGAGAGTGGAGCAGCAGCAGCAGCAGAAGTGTCTCCTACGAGCGTAATCAGACAGCTACTGCGCGCTGCTAGACAGTCAGGCCGTGCTGCCGCTGCCCCCACCGCCCCTCCCCTCGACCCTTCCGCTTCTCTCGCTGCCTCCCTCGCCAACCACCACCAAGCCACAGCCCCCGCTCTACCTCACCACCCGCACCACCTGCACCACCGGCACCACCATCAGCACCCCCACCACCAGCACCACCAGCATCACCAACATCTGCCCCACGCCTCTCCTCCCCCACCACAGGCAGCAGCGGCTGCGGCAGCGGCGGCGGCGGCAGCAGCTGCGATGGCAGCGTCTACAGGGGGCTCTGGGGGGTCCCCAGTGCCGGGTTTGATTTCCGGGCTGTCTCTAGAGCACCTGCAGCGCGTGGCATCGCTGCTTGCTGCCTCCAACCACCTGCCTCGTCCTGTGGGAGCGGCAGTGCCGGGGGTAACAGGAACAGGAATGGAGGCTGGTGCTGGGGGTAGCGCTGCTGCTATGGCAGCAGCAGCAGCGGCAGGAGCTGCTGCTGCTGCTGCTGCTGCTGCTGCTGGTGCTGCTGCTGCTGCTGGAGGGTCGTCTGGAGCAATCGGATCATCATCTACATTTCTCCACCCTTACCCGTACACGCATTCGCTGCCTCATTCGTACCCGCACTCTCTCTCCCAATCAATCCCTCGTCCGTACACGCACCCGCACTCGCACCCAAACGCACTTGCACAGGCTTTGCTGCACTCCCTTCCTAGTCACCCCCCCTCAGGGCAGGTGCGTGGGGCGTGGGGGCGTGGAGAAGGGGCTGAGGGAGGAGAGGAGGAAGAAGAAGAGGAGGGGAAGGCAATGCAGCAGGGGCAGAGCGAACAACCGAGGGGCGACGATAAGGGAAGAAGGCTCAGAGAATTAGATCAAAAGGGGGGTGCTGGTGGTGATGGTGGCAATTGTGACGCTGCTGGTGATGAAGAGGAGAACAAAATCCCAGGCAGGAGAAGGGGGTTTGGGTCGCAGGAGCAACGGCAGAGTCAGGGTGCAGAGGAAGGTGATGGAGAGAGGGTGGTCGGGGGAAGAACACAGACAGGGGCAGCAGCAGGGACAGGTGGAGAAAGGGAAGATGATAGAGTTGAAAACAGGATTGGAGGTATGGTGGATGGGTCAAGAAGATCTCTGGATGGACTGGCCCCTCTATCCATATCAGCAGCAGCATCAGCTGCAGCTGCAACAGCTGCAACAGCTGCTGCTGCAGCAGTAGTAACAGCAATGCAAAGCACACGACCACCTCTTGCTCCGTGCTCTGCCGCCTCCTCCTCTTTCTCTTTCTCTGCTTCTGCCTCTGCACCCGCCTCTGCTGCCGCCTCTGCCTTCTCCCCTGCATCTAGCATCCTTCCACGGCCACCACTGCTCAAATCCATGCATCCGCCCTCATCAACCCCAGCAGCAGCAGGAACAGCAGCGCTGCCACCGGCTCCAACAGGAGCATCAGTAGCTGCAGCTGCGGCAGCAGCAGCAGCAGCGTCTCAAGCAGCGCTTGCAGGGGCACGGAAGCGGCCATCCGCGTTCAGAGTGCTATCTGTGGTCATTCCTTCTGATAACGCCCGTGCAGACCACCCTCCCTTGGCCGCACCCTCGCCCGGAGCAGGAGGCGCAACAGCAGCAATGACTGCCGCTGCGGCTGCGGCTGCTGCGGCTGCTGCGTTCTCCTCTGCTGCTGCCGCTGCTGGTGGGGCTGCTGCAGGGGGGTTGCCAGGGGGCGGGCATGCCTTCATGAGCCCCTTTCCTCCCAGAAGGTGCGTCTGAAAAGCCGTGCACACCCTTAGTCACTGTGCCTTTGATTCCCCTTTCAGTGTGTGCTCTGCTCTGCTCTGATCTGCTCTTCTCTGATCTGCTCTGCTCTGCCATGTGTGGGTTCTCCAACCACTGGTCACTCTGTCTGCTCTGCGCTTTCCCTCCCTCAAATCATCCTCACCCTTCACCCCCCATCTTCCTCCCCTCTCTTCGCCCTCCCTATCCACATACCCGTCAACTCACTCCCCGTTTCTCCCAACAACCTCCCCTCCGCCATCTCCCTCCCTCCCATCCCCGCCCCTCTCCCACCTCCCACTCACCCTGCCAGTCCATGGGGCAGCGATGGCCAGTTCTGGGACATGGCATCTGAAACAACAGAGACGGAGGGGGTGGTTCTCTCCAGCCCCATTCCCATTCGCTCACCTTCTGTTTCGTCCCACTCTTCCATCCCCCCTCCCGCTCCTCGCCCATCTCCCCCTCATCCCACCAGTCCATGGGGCAGCGACGGCCAGTTCTGGGACATGGCATCAGAAACAACAGAGATGGAGGGGGTGGTGCTGCCGAGCCCGCACATCATCCCGCCTACGCCCTTCAGTGCGGCTTTCCCCAAGCCGCACAGCGCGGGCGCAGCCGTGCGGGAGCTCACGGCGTTTGACAAGCCCTTGGTGTCCCCTGCTGTGCCCTTCTTTCCGCGCACGCGCTCGTTTATGAAGATGGTGCGGAGTATTGCGGAGGAGGAGGGGGCGGAAGGGCAGGAGGGGGTAGAGGGAGGGGAGGGGCAGGGAGGGCAAGAGGGGCAGGAGGGGCAGGAGCGGCAGGAGGAACAGGAGGGGCAGGAGGGGCGGGAGGAGGATGTGGAAGGGCGGGGTGGGAACAGTGGCGGTGTTGGCGAGGGTGCTGGTGATGATGGTGCCAGTGGAAGAGACGCTTCTGGTGCTGCTGCTGCTGCTGGTGATGGTGGTGGTGGTGTTGGTGGTGGTGGTGTGGAGAGTGGTGATGGTTGTGGGGGGAGTGGTAATGATGATGGCGATGGTGCTGGTGGTTTGAGCGGAGGGAGTGCCAGCGGTAGTGGTGCCGCGGTGAGTGAAGGAGGAGGAGGAGGAAGAGGAGGGGAGGAGGGGGGGAGAGTAGGAGGAGATGCAGCAACAGCAAAGCAAATTGAACCAAACTCCTCAGCAACACCTGCAGCTGCTTGCCTCCCTGGGGATTCTACGTCCTCTGGCTCTCCTGCCGCTGCTCCTGCTGTTGTTCCTGCTGCCGCTGGCGTTGCTGCTACTGCCAGTGGAAATAGGTCAGGAAGCAACGGTGATAGTACATTAACCGCCGCTGCCGCTGCCGCTGCCACCAGCACAGCTACTGACTCTCTAGATGCTGCTGCGAGCGCACAAGCGCCAGCAGAAACAACAATCCCAACCGTAACTGTAGCAGAAGGAATAGTTGTCGCAACAGCAGCAGCACAAGCAGCAGCACATGCAGCAGCAACAGAAGCAGCAACAGAAGCAGCAGCAGAGCCTGTAACAGCAATCCCCGAGCCACTGACTTCAGGCACCAGGGCCGTTGGATCAATCGCGAGGCCGTCGTCGATCGGACGGCTGGGAGATAGCTCTATAATGCCGCCGCCCCGTTTCTCCCCCGCCCCGCCTGGCCTGGCAGCAGTGGCAGCAGCAGCTGCGGCAGCAGCAGCAGCAGCAATGACTGGACCAGTGGAGCTTCTGCCAGTGAGTGCTCTCACACACACACCCACCTGCCCACCCATCCATCCTCCCACCCGCCCACCCACCCTCCCACCTACCCGCCCACCCATCCATCCTCCCACCCACCCACCCACCCACCACCCAACCCCCCACCCTCCCACCCACCCACCCACCACCCAACCCCCCACCCTCCCACCCACCCACCCACCACCCAACCACCCACCCACCACCCAACCCCCCACCCACCCATCTAGCCAGCCTTTTCACCTGCCTGCTCCCCTCTTTTCCAACCTAACCATTTTATCCACGTGTTTCATTTCCCAATCCTCTGTCATTGCGCGTGCCTGTGCCTGCTAGCTTCTCATGCACTGTGTGCTCGCATGTCACCTTATCCTGGTGCAGCAGATCGTGATTGTTGCCGCCCGCTACCATCTCTCTGTTGCCCCCATTCCCGCTCTTCCCCTCGCCCTCACGCACTTTCCGCTTCCCCTTCCCCTATACCTTTCTCCTTTGCCCTCTGCCCTCTCCTTTTTCCCCTCTCCCCTCTCCCCACTCCCCTCACCCCTTTCCCCTCTCCCCTCACCCATCTCCCCTCTCCCCTCTCCCCTCTCCCCTCCCCTCACCCATCTCCCCTCTCCCCTCACCCATCTCCCCTCTTCCTCTGCAGGCGGACCCGTCAACGAGTCTGGTGTCTCCGTTGCCGCTCAGCTACTCGCGCTCCAATGCTGCGCCACGCACTATCCCGCCACGCCCCTGGCTCTCCCTCGACATCCACGACGCGCCTGACGACGCTCGCTGAGGCGGCCTTAAAAGGAGTTAGCAAGCAAACTGAACTGATCCACCACTGAGGTGTTCCGTTCCGTCCCGCAACTGTGCAACTGTTTGCTTGAAAACAAGTCGCCACCGTGTTAAGTCAGTGGGGCGTGGCACCCAACCCAACCCAACCAAACTGGTGTTCTACCTATCAGGAATCCATGGAACTGCTGATGATCATGAGTCGTGACGCTCGCTGAGCTGGCGGTGTGGGAGATTTACTAAGAACCATGTGCATATCGATGAACTTACTGTTGCAGCTTGCTGATACCACTGCTGCTCTGCTTGTGCCGCTATTGCCGCTGCATCTGCCGCTGCCGCCACCGTGTGCCCTGGGTGTGGCTGCTGCAGCTGCTGCGCGTATTTGTAACTTATTTACTCAACAACACCCTAACCACCACCGGTTCTTAGGGGCTGGTGCTAACAGCGTGCTTATTTCCCCATTTAGAAAATGGGGATGGAAGGTGGATCTCTTGGTGCCCTGTGGTGTGGTGTGGTGTGGTGTGGTGTAGTGTGTGTGGTCTGTGCTGATATAACCAAAGGATCCAGTAGATAGGATAGGATCTGTTAAGTCTGAGAGGAGACAAAGAAGTCTTTGTAGTGACCTTGTTGAATAATAATTGAAAGAGAGCAAGATGATTTGAAAGATAGGAGTACAAGGGATTAAATAGAAATCTAGCTAGCCATATACTCTCAAGGGTACATTCCCTTATTAACTGTATTGCATAGCTACAATAACCGCGACTATTGCTATCCTCGACAATTACCATGTTGCAGTGAATTAACTGTCGCGCGGTTACTGGATCGTCAAAGGTCACGACCGTTGACTTCCTCAGACGGTTGACCTTCGGGTGACCCTCGACATTCCGCATGCTCTATATGAGCTATTGCGGTACTGGTACAGTGGAGCAGCTTCGGGAATGCTTTATATAACCTTTCGGTTGTTTCAACACTCCCCTTCATTCCTGAAGGTGGGCCACGTGGGATTTCTTGGCGATCCCACAGAGGTCGGTGCAGCGTTGGTACTGTTGACGTGGCAGTTTCTTCGTCAGGAAATCAGCTGCCATGTCACCGGTCGGGCAGTACGCCAGCTTGACTTTTCCCTTGTCGATTTCATCCTTCACGAAGAAGTAGCGAAGGGCGATGTGCTTGGTGCGGTTGACGAAGTCGGGCTTGTTCGCGATCTTTATCGCGCTCTGATTGTCGCAGAGTAACGTGAAGTGCCCGTTCATCGTCACTTTCGCCTCCTGCACGAGCTCCATCAGGTACAGTCCTTCGCGAACAGCTGCGCTGGCTGCGATGAATTCTGCTTCTGCTGACGAAAGAGCGATGAGTTCCTGTTTCTAGGAGTGTTTCGGCGTACTTGGCGGCGGAGAGGTGAATGGAGGATGCGGACTGAGTCACATTGAGGCCGAGAAACTATGTGACGTTGTGGTTTACTGTCACCTCCAGCTTCTCCTTGATGTCAGCCTCAAACTGGTCCAGCAGCTCCGTGTCGTCGCCGGTGTAGAGAAGGTCGTCGACGTAGGCGACGAGGAGGATAAATTTCCCGCGCGATTTCCGCCTGTACATTCTGAGGTCGTGCGGCAGCTGAGTGAAGCCGAGCTCAAGGAGGACGGAATGGAGGTACTGCTGCCACAGACGAGGTGCCTGCTTGATTTTGTAGAGGGATTTCTGGAGGAGGCACATAGCGCCATCGTTTTCTTCGAATGCGTGCGGCTGCTCGACGAACATTATGGCATCGACGGGGGCGTATAGGAAGGCGCTGCCGACGTCGATTTGCCGGAGCGGTCGCTGTTTGATGGCGGCGATGCAGAGAGGAATCCGCACCGAGGTGTGGCGGCCGACTGGAGCGTAGGTAAGAGTGAAATCTACCAGGTGCGTTTGTTCAAATCCCCGTACCACCCAACGCGCCTTGTGCTTGTCGACCGAGCCATCGGCGAGAGTTTTGATGCGGAAAACCCATTTTCCGCTGAGAATTTTTCTCCCTTTTGCCGATGACCGAGGGACTAGTTTCCAGGTGCCACGTTTCTTCAGCGACGCGATTTCGGCAGCCATGGCTGTTCTCCATTTTTCACTGTCGGGGCTGGACAGGGCTTGGCGGACTGTGGTTGGTTCCTTGGGCGAGGTGTGGCGAACAGTGACGGCGAGGCCGAGGACGCGGAGACCGGTTTCGTCAGTCTTTTCGTAGTGAAGTCGGTCGTAGTCATGGAAGCTGGTAACTTCCACCACGTCGTCATCGCTGTCGTTGCCGAGGCGGAGGGTATCATGCGACGTGTTGGGTTGTGGTAACTCGGCATCAGGCGATCGGCGCGCCTCACTGTTGTAGTCATGAGCCTTGCGTGTTATGTCGTCAGGATTGGGTTGGTGTAGAGGTACGAATATCAGAGTCCCGAATTGGCTTGTGAGAGGGATGCTCGGAGCGAAGTCCATTGGGGTGACATCAGGTGCGTCTGCATCCTCGGCCAGGTCAGCTTCGTCGTGTGACGTGGCAAAGCTGCGGTGGCCCTCGAAGAGCCTTTCAGGAAGTTTGTCGGCTTCCTGGTGCTCCTTAAAAAGGGGCAGAGTCAGCTTCTCGTAGAAGATGCAGTCACGTGATTTCATCACCTCGTGTGTCGCGTAGTCCAGCACGATCCACGCCTTGAATTCCTTCTCGACCCCGAGGTGGATGCCCCATCGTGCCCGGTCAGCAAATTTTTCGGTTCTCGCAGTGTGGGGTCTGTACTGTACCATGCAGCCAAACACCCGAAGCAGGCGTGTATCTGCTTTTCTGCCCGTCCATGCCCGGTAGGGAGAGTTGTTGTTCTCGAGGCTTCGCGAGGACAGCAAGTTGTGCAGCCGAACAGCGTGATTCATCGCAAACGGCCAATATTTTGTTGGGATGGCCGACTGCTTCATCAGAGCCCTCATCCGCATGGCGAGGCTTCTGTTTGTCCGTTCTGCTACTCCTTGCTGTTGGTGAGTGTAGTGCACGGAAACCAGGTGCTCAATCCCCTTCTGCTTCAGGAGCTCCTTGAACTCGTCTGAGAAGAACTCCAGGGCTCCGTCCGTCTGCCAAGTTTTGAGTTTGAGACCGGACTGTCGCTCAGCCCGCTTCATCCACGCAATGAAGCACTCGAAGGCCAGAGACCTGCTGTCGGTGTTGACGGCCCAGACGTAGCGCGTAGATGCGTCGATGAAGGTAAGTGTGTACTGCTCCCCGTCGAGCCCCTCCTGGCTGAGCACCATAAAATCGCTGTAAACCTTGTCCAGCGGCTTGTAGCGTTCATACCCTGGGGGCAAGTCGGGGAACGGCTGGTGATTGAGTGACGCGGTTGGGCAGACGATGCACGGCGGGTTAGGTGAGTCTGCGGTGAGGGAACCGTTTCGAAGAAGGAGAAGCGCGTCGTTGTCGAAGACTCCGGCCTTGAGCGAGTTTTTGAGCGTGGCGTGGGAGGGATGGCCGAGCCGTTGGTGCCATGTTTCTGGGTCCGCACGGTAACCGACCGTCTTCTGATAATATTTTTGTCGCGCTGCTTCGTCGTTTTCCTCCCCTTCAGGGCCTGCGTCGGCGGCGTTGTCGGTATCGGCAGCGAGCGCACGAATTGCCTTTCGCTCCAGAAGCGCGTGGGGAATACCGATGACGTCGCCGGTGTCGCCGGCTTTGACTTGGTCTCCGGTGACGAGCAGGCACTGGTTGGGCCACTCCCGAACTGGGAGTCCCGTCATGGGGATTCCGAAGTAACTGTATTCAGCGCCAATGACCTCAATTTCTTGTGGTCCTTGTACTGGCGGCTCCGGCTCTTCGGTGGGTTCAAGTAACTCTGTTGGTTCTCCCATTAATTTGTAGGTCTCTTCTTCGTCTGACTCTTCTGGCATTGGCTCGGGTGTGTCAGGGGCGTATTGATCTGGGAGAGGTGGACCTCCCCAGCAGGTGCCGCGAGTTGCCCAGTATGGGTCGACGACGGCGACTTCCGCAGGAGGAAAACCAACTGCTTCGGTGTGCCCTTGTTCTGCTTCGATCGAGGTGCCCCATCCTCCTTCGGCGCCCCGTGTGACTTCAGCTGTCTCTGCTGCTCCGACTGCTTCTCCTACTGTTGTACCAGCTTCCTCTGCTGGGGCAGGGGAAGTCCCTCGGCCGGTCGCGCCAACTTCTTCTGTTGAAACGGCGTCCCACCCGCTTGTGGCTGCTTCTTCTGGAGTTAAAACTTCTCCCCAGGACCCGAGCGCGGGCTTGGAAGTGTTCCAGCCCGTCCAGCGTGTCTCCGCCGTCTTCTTTTCTTCAGTTGCAGGTTCTGACGTGCCGCTGTCTTCTTCCATTGTGGCAGGTCCGGTTTCTGCAGGGTTGGAGTGTCAGAATCCCAACCACAAGACCATTGGGATAAAAGGGCTTGTTTCAGTAGCGGGTCAGTGCGCCCATAACCCCCCAGGCGAACGCGCCTGTAACCCTCTACAGGATCAATCGGGCATCCACAGTGCAGATCTACTGACACCCCCCCCCACTGGGAGGCCCAGGACTAAGCACAGCGGCAACGGCCTAAATGTGCATACACTGGGAATCGAACCCGAGATCGCTCTGATACCATGTCAGAATCCCAACCACAAGACCATTGGGATAAAAGGGCTTGTTTCAGTAGCGGGTCAGTGCGCCCATAACCCCCCAGGCGAACGCGCCTGTAACCCTCTACAGGATCAATCGGGCATCCACAGTGCAGATCTACTGACATGGAGGTCGAGGCAGTCGGGACTGTGCGCAAGTGCAGGAGGCCGTTGGAGGCAGGTTGCTCGAGATCCATCTCGTCGGGATGTGTCCATGTTGGTGGCTCCGTGGGAGTTGTTTTCAGTAGTAGTGTGCGGTGGGAATCGCTGGTGGTGCCCTGAGCTGAAAATTGCAGCACGAAGACTCCATCGTCATCGATCGCCTTTCCGATGTAAGTTTCTTTGTAGAAGAGCTCGAAGGTCTTCTCCTTTCGATTGCTGCGAATGTCGATTCCGCACCGCATGAGT